CGCACGCCACGTATTATCTCCGGAACTACCAGAAGGCACCACCGCAGCACAGCAAAGCTCACGGGCACCTCGGATTGTCCCGTGGGCAGCCACAAAGTGGGACTGTGCAAACAAGTTAAAATAAACACACACAGGAGAGAAACAATCCCAAACGAACAGTCGCACCTTCGCATCTTGCACAGTGTCGGCACCAGCAAGGCATTAGTTGGCCAGTACTGGTTTCTTCTTCTGCGCTCGTACAGTGGATATCTCACACACCTCAGGACCTCGCGGCTGGAGACTGTCGCACGCCACGTATTATCTCCGGAACTACCAGAAGGCACCACCGCAGCACAGCAAAGCTCACGGGCACCTCGGATTGTCCCGTGGGCAGCCACAAAGTGGGATTGTGCAAACAAGTTAAAATAAACACACACAGGAGAGAAACAATCCCAAACGAACAGTCGCACCTTCGCATCTTGCACAGTGTCGGCACCAGCAAGGCATTAGTTGGCCAGTACTGGCTTGTAATTCTGTGCTTATTCGATTAACGTTTTCGGCTGTGTAGTGGTTTTGGTATATGAAGAATAAATTTGCATTTCTGTACTTTGTTTACTTATTATAGGCATAGAAAAGAAGGGTCAAATGTAAGTAGACTTTGATTGCTTTTAGAAAGATGTTAATGTTGTTACATAATTTTAATTATTTTTTTTTTGTTGTTGGGGGGGGGACTACCGTTTTTTTTTTTTTTTATATATATATAGCCCATTGAAAAGATTCGCAAAAAGGGATTATTTTTATGGTTTCCAATAATGAAACTTCGCTTTATCGTACTTTGATTTTGTTGTGTATTTTTTTTTTTTGTTTGGTATAAGCAAAAAAGAAGAAAAAAACCGTTCATAATCTTCACATTAAACAAGTGTTTTGAATTTTCAATCTACACTTAGTAGAACTTAGATGGAGCTGAGGGTTGTCATCATAGAAATGTGCAAATTAAATGATACCTGACACTAGTTTTGGTATCTATGCTTATTCTTCGATCTGTACTCTTACATATCGCTCCTTTTCTTGCTCTTTTTGCCCATATGCAATCACTGCTTGTTGACGACTCTTCATGAGTTTTCTGGCTTTGTACTGACGAAGCGCACATTGTATTTTTAGAGCTGCCTGCTGAGGTGTTATACTCGGAGGATGTCGACACCGTGCATTTGCCCAACTCTGCATAAAAGCGTAGAGGTTGTGGGGTTTTTGTCGAACAGCCTCAGCCACGAAGCTTTCAAGAAGTTCCCGTACACCAACTCGCTCAAGGAACTCTCGATTTTCCTCGCTGTAGTCAAGACTGTAATCCATTATTGATGGAACTGTTACCTTTTTTTTTTTTATTGGGAGATGTTTGTTTTTGTTTTTGTTTTTGTTTTTTTGTGAATGAATGTATGTTGGCTTTGTTTTAATTACTATCCTTTTATTTATTGTATTTAATTCTTTTAGTTAAAAATAATAGGTGAGGTGAAGCGCACAAAGCATAGTTGCATAGAGCGTTCTTAAATGAAAGAGCATTGTTGTTAGTAAAAACAGTATTATTATAAAAATTATAAAAACTAAACCATAAAAGAGAATCAAGAATTTTTAGTGTTGTGAAGATCGTCAGAGATACTGTGTATATGTATGCAATTCTGTGATTTACTTTCTTTTTCTTTCTCTCTCTTTTGTTTTTTTTTTTCTCGTTTTTCTGAAGTAAACGTATGCAATGTGAAAAATTCTTGTAGAATGTGAATAAGCGAATATGATCTCTTACTTGCGACTTGTTGCAGGTGAGAGATAAATCATACTTCCATCAGCCCTAGTGAAGGAAGAGTAAGGAAAGGTGATTTCACCAATACCATTATACTTTATCTGTGAATTGATAGTAGTTGTGTCCTCGTTTCTACTCTTATTGTTGTTGCTGCTCTGAACCCTCGGAGGACATGAGTGGCTACGCAACTCATTATATTCCACAATGGGCGTTGGTAATAATAATGATAATGAAGAAAATGGATCTGCCCTTCTCAGTTGTCGTCGCCAGACTGGAAGCAACGGTATAGCGGCGCCGTTCTTCTCTTTGTTTACGGTATCTTCTTCATCGTCATCGTCTTCTTCTTCTTTAACAGGGTTGGAATGACTATTATCATCATCAAGAGATTGATTATCATCCTTAATATCAGTGAAAGATGAAACAACTCGCTCGCAAGTTGGGAATTCAAAAAGTAACTTCCAATACGGTGAATCACGTTCAATACGACGACTCTCACGCACACAAATGGGTCGTCCAGCAGCCGTTGTGAACATTGTTGGCACCATAACAGTAACGCAAGCTGCAGTCTGATCGTTGCAGGAGTGAGAAGAATGAGAATTGGAAGCGGCGGCTGCTGCTGCAGAATCAATACTACTTTCTGAGTTATGGGGAGATGTTAATCGTGGTATCTTTCGAATGGGTGATAAAGGACACGTTACAAGAGCGGCGCCTATACCGCAGTGGTTACTTTTACTGTCATCATTATCATCATCACTACAGCTGCCGGTATTGTTTGCAGCATCTTTCTGTAGACTGCCGCTTCTGATGTGTTTGCCCTTGTAGAGATTATATTGATCTGTATTTGTCTGTGAAGTATAACGCTGAAATTCAGTTTCCATGTAATTTGGTCCCTATTTACAAACCTGGACTATTGACTTGACTTTGCTTCTCTTCTATTATTCTTCGTCCTGCGTAGTCAACGTTGTGCCTAGAAGAACTTTTAATATAGATTATAAATGGGAAGAAGAAGGGGTAGGGGGAAAAAAACAATTTACATATTTCCTGTAGAAAAGCAGTATATAACAACACGTATAAATATACATATACACTCTCACACTCTCTCCTCTTGAGAGTATCTACACACCTGTGACTCCACAAGAAAAAAAAAGAAGAGCAAAGCGCAGAACAAACTCATAAATAAAACAGGTGTTGTACAGAGACTTTTAGCGTCTGCCAAACAAAAGTAAAGAATGTTTTGTTTTTGTTTTTCTTCCCTTAAGAACACAGAGACATGTTCCCCAAAGGTAAAGCACAGAAAAAGAAGAGCCATAAGAAAAAAAAGAAGGAATACCCCAAGAATAAACTCTTTGCGACTCACTTTTTTTTATTTCTTTTTGTCTTCACTTTGCCTGGTTTTCTCTTCTCCAGTTGTCGGTTCCATTTATAAATAAAAATAGAACAGAGGAAGTGGTAGTGGTGGGAGTCATAATAATAATAATAATAGTAGTAGCAGTAATAATAATAATAAAGAGCAATACTTACTCCTAATGCCATTGCCATAGGAAAAAAAAAAAGCCAAAGGCATGTTTGGTCATTATTTTGCAAAGATTTTTTACCTATTCAGTTAAATATTCTGCAACTGTGTGTTCGTGGAATGCGATTAAGTTTGGCTCTAGGACACAGCGCCACACAGTCAAATAGACGCATAGAATGCATGCACGTATACATATATGTCTGCTTTCCGAAGGCTGTTTGTGTGTTTTTTTTTCTTTTTTTTTTTTTTTTACCCATTCACTCCTCTCACTCTTTTTTTTTTTCTTTTTCGTTCTCTTTTTTTCTTTTTCGTTCTCTTTTTTTTGTTTTTCGTTCTCTTTTTTTTAACTAAAAACTATGTGCCAATGCAGACCACATTCCATTCAGATTTCCCCACAGTAAGTATCATAGCAAAATATACATAAGATATTTAATAAAAATATGTATATATACACTATACTTCCCAGAGTATAGTGGATAGCATTCCATTTAACATGTCCTTGTACTGCTACTTTGAGATGTATCTCGTTGTTTTGCTGCCCAACTTGCCATATACTCACATGCATTTTCCGGCTTATCACGCACGATATCGGCAACGAGTCTCTCAAGAACGCCACGTACGTTGTGAGAGTGCAAGTACTCCTGGTCCTTTTGGATATTACTAATACCACTGCTGGTGTTCATTAGGTCCTTTTTTTTATTTTTATTTCGTTTTGACTCCTTCTCTTTTGAAACCTTTTTTCTTTTCTTTACAACAAAGACACATCAAATCCGAGGAAAGAGGGAGAGAGAGAATGGAATAATGAATACACTTAGGGGGAAGGGTGAGAAGGGAGTGGATAGAGACACAAAAAACAATAAAAAAAATAAAAATACGGCAAACATTACATCAACGTCATTTTTTTTTCCTTTTTTTTCTTTTTTTTTTTTTTTTGGACGTCACTCACGGCAGCACCAAGTGGTGTATATACTTCAGAAAATATAGACAAATAGAATACCTTCGTTTCCTTTTGGTTTATTGGATCCAGAGGCGACGATACGTTTTACATATGCAATAAGTAAAGTGAATGTTGCAAATAATAATATGCTACACCTATGTAGTTCTAATTCCATTTGTTCCCTTTGTTCGAAGGGACCCTTTAGACATATCTCTACTATTTTTCATCCCACCCTGTTGTTGTTTTTTCTGAGTGATTGGGGGTAATGTGGTAACAGTGCTTTGCCGTGGCCGCACTGAACCAGACTTTTGTTGTTGTTGTTGTTGTTGTTGTTGTTGTTGCGGTTGTGGTTGTTGTTGTTCTGTTCCATTTAATGGTGCCGGTGGGGGAATGGTGGGGCCGCGTAGTCGGACATAGTATCCCAGATTTTCATCAAACTTGACACCGCATGAGACACACAATTTCTTTGCCGTTGGTCCTTCAAACATAGATGTATTACCTCGCCCATGTCTACAGGACTTTACGAAACTCTCCTGTTCTTTATTAAAGCGACGCATCTGCCGCGCTGCCAATCGCCGTGCTGCTGCCTCTTTCCGTTCCCGTTCCTGTCGCAATGCAATCTGTTCAGGACTATTCATGAAGTTCTCATAGGCGATGCGCTCCGCCTCGGCGCGGCCATCCCGCTCTTGTGCGAGAAGTGTCTCCCACGCAGTGGCCTCCCCGTCTGCCTCCTCGCGGCGCCAGCGGGTTTCTGTACTAATGAGAAACACAATGGCCGCCCGCAAGGCCCGTTCATTCTCGCGGCGCCACGCCTCTACGGCACGTGCGTGTGCGGCGGCCTCTTCTGCGGCGGCGACGGCGGCCCGCCACGCGGCTCGGCCCTCCTCCCGTTCTTTTTGTTCATTTCGTTCTCGTTGCTCGCGTACTCTCCGTGCGAGTCGGTCCTCTAATTGCCGCAGTGGCCATCCGCCCGGTGGGACGTCCCGCTCGCGGCCCTCCTCGTCTGCCCACGCGGTGATGGCGGCGTATTGGGCGGCGGCGGCATCGACGATTTCGGCCCGCGCGAGTTCCTCGTGGCGCTCGACCTCCCGCCGCTCGCCGGCATTCTTGCGGAGTCGATACTCGCGGGCCGCGTCGGCGTGCAGGCGCTGCAACTCCTGCGGCTCAAACCGCCGGCGGGCGGCGGAGGACACACACGCGGCGTGCCCCTCAGGCGGGAGATCAGACAAAACACGACGATCCGCTGCCGTGGGCGGGGACTCCCCATAACAGTGAGAGTGAGTGAGAGAGAGAGATGAGGATGGCCTCTCCACTCCCGTATTACTAATAGATGTAGTTGTTGTAGTTCTTGTAGTTGTAGTATTATGATTATTATGATTAGCAGTAGCAGTAGCCGCAGCTGCAGCCGCAGCCGCAAGAGTCATTTGGTGAAATCACACAAACTCTCTTCCTATATTCTCACTTTAGCACAGCTATACACACACAGAGACCGAGAGAGAGAAAGGAAAAGGTGATGGAAGGAAAGGAATGAATAAAGAAAGAGAAACGGAGAGCCATATGATACACAAATCCATAAAACAAAGAAAAAAGGATCCCAGTTATATATTTATATTTTTCGATATATTTTTTAAAAAAGAAAGAAAAACGCAACTACAAAAATAAATAAAGAGAAATTAGAGCAAAAAAAAAAGAAAAAAACACCAGAGCATTCTCTGGCTTCATAAGCAGACGTCTATTATTACACCCCACTCTATCTTTTTTCTCATTCACAATTAAAACGTTTCGCCAAAGCTTTACTGTACTGATCAAGTTTATTAACTGTATCTGAGAGTGTCGCGAGTTGTGACTCAACTTCATCGACGCGTGCAAAATGAACCCTAAGACGTTCCATCATTTCAGCAGTCGTTTCCATCTGTTGGACTGCCTCCCGTGTTGAGCCTCGAACTTGTTGGCATCGTTCTTGCAACAATTCGCTAACTCTACCCAACAATTTCCAGTCCTCTGCATGGGCAGACATCTCTACTGTTACGTATTTCTGCATTGCGGCCTGCGCAAGACGCAACTGCTTCATCGCTTCATCCTGTGAAATCGGTGAGGACGAAAAAGAAACACCATCTAATCCGAGAGTAGTACTATCAAAAGAGTCACTACCTTTTGATTCCTGTGGCTCTTGGGAATCTCTTTCTGTACTCATACTGTCTAGTGAGAATCAACAGTCACTCTTTTTTTTTTTTATGATTCCCACAAGGACCTTCACACACAATATATACACACACCAAAACAAAATAATGAATCACAAGAAATAAAAAAAAAAAGAAGAGCCCATATAAAGATACATAACAGAGATAGAGAGAGTGTGTGTATATACAATAAAACTCCAATAGTAAAATATTAATCATCATGATAAAATGTGAAGGTGAGAATTTTTTAATTATTGTTTTTTTTTTCTTGTGTGTGTGTGTGTAATTTCGTTAAGAAAGAAGAATAATAGCAGGTGAGGGGAGAGAAACAAGAGGAGGAAGACATGTTAAAGCAAAGAAACCATACAACCTGCAAAGATGAGTGTATGTTTTTTTTTTCCTTTTTACGTGAACTCACAGTAATTATTGTAGGATTACACCATCTTACCAAGAGGTGGGGCGGAATCGCGGTCACAACGAAACACCTCCAACATATCAGCCAACATTTCTACTTTTTTCTGACGTGTATCTCCCTCCAATGTGTAGAGACGTACACAATTTCCTAAAAAGGCATCTGAGTGTAATAGTTCCACAGGATCACGACGAAGATATCCCTCCATCGTTTCAATAATACTACTCATTACGGTGGTAGGGTTCTTACCACGTGTAGTCTCATACGGCATACAAGTAATATGTGAGGTAGCGGCGTTTACCCACATTTGATGAAATGCGACCCGACAAAGGGCAGATTGTGCCTGTGCATCTGCAGTCCCTGCTGTTCTTTGCGCAGAGAGTGTTGGTACATTAGATGATGTTTCTGTTACTTTGTTTAATCCACGACAAAACTCTCTTGTACCACGTGCAACCTCTCGAAAGACATGTGCTGCTTCTTCCACACGATCATTAAACGACATCCAAAGTGCTTGATTAACGGCTACTAAAAATTGATGTAATTGTCGCACATCTTCGGATTCATTACTAGTTCCAATATTTTCAATCACCCGAAATATATCTTCTGCGAGAAATATATTACCACAATGTAAACATAAAGTTGCAAATTGCTGTAAATGTAACATCTGCCGTACCACTGCACAATTTGATTTTTTTTCATTCTTATCATTATATTTCTCTGCTACTATAGATTCCTCAAAAAGACGTAATGCTTCAGAGTACTGTTCGGTTTGATAATGACTTACAATAAGTGCACGCAAAACTCGCTTAATACGCGCATCCCAAATGGATGATTTTGTCATTTCTGCACGTTGTCGACATTTACTAAGAAGATCATACAACCGCCTCTGAGAATCCATAGTAGCCCCACAATAACCTGGCAATAAGGCTGCAATAAAACTAAGAGAAAAAGGCACAACAGACTCTCCTGTAGATGGATCCACATATCTACCACTACTGAGATCACCTAATGTATCCACTAATTTCTTCGCTGCTGCATACTTTTTCATACTAAAATAGGCGGTTACCTGCACAAGAATATAACGTAATTTGGCGGTTACTCCACATATCGTATCACTGCGTGCGGCTGCGCTTAACTGTTCTGCGAGTAGGGCGACACCATTCCAATTCCCATCCGCCGCCAACAGCCGTAATCCATCTTCATTACGCGGCACTGTCTCTGCACTCCGCTCCTGCCGCACCAATTCGGTAGAGACATTACCTAAAAATACCTCAGCTGATCTCAAAGACTGTTGTGAGGGCATTACTTTTTGTGATCCTATCCTTGTTTGTTTTTATTTTCTTTTCCTTTTCCTTTTGTTTTTTTTTTTTCTTTTGCTCTTCTTTTGTATCTCTTCTTTCACTGTTTATCCTTTTGTTTTTTTGTTTTTTTTTTTTTTTTGCTTTGATTACCAGCTAATGACTGCAAAGGGAATTATTTAAAAGAAAAAAAAAAGAGTTGGAATTATTTATATAGTAGAATTTAAAAAAGAAATCACTGACAAGAAAAAACACTCTTTCCAATAAAGAGCTCATCAGAGCATAAATTACAGTTTTCTCTACACCACATGCGCAAAGAGATAAATTGGCCTTTAATAAAATATATATTTTTTTTCTTTTTGTTAAACGACAGTAACAACCCAAAATGCCACACCACGATAATAATATAAGTGACGAAGTATAATAATAAAAAAATAATAATAGAATGTGAAGAATTAAAAGAACAAAAAAAAAACCAACAGAGAAAAAAAAAAATAGAGAAAACAAATATCCCTTTGAATATATATATTTACAATAAATTATAATAAACAATAAACAGAAGTGTGATTTTTAAATGATCTGTATTTTTTCTCTTTCCTTCTTCCCCTCTCTCTGACTCTCAATTTCAGGTATCATTATTAGTATTATCATCATCTCGTTTCATCTCTCTTCGTCGCTGTTGCCAAAGTGCAACACATCTTCCCACATATTTCCGCATTCTCGCGGTAGGCGCACAATAATATCGCACAAACACATCCATATCACGACCCTCGTTATCCACATCCAGCGGCCATTGTGAACCCAACTCTAATAAAGAATGTAAGAATTCAATATTCCTCTGGTGTTTACCTCCCATTATACACCACATAGCTGGAGTTCGACCATCATTATCTCTATCATCCACGTGTTTCTGAAGATCATATTTAATAAAGAAATCTTCTAATAAATGCGTACATCCACGGCGAGCGGCATGATGTAATGCGGTAGCCCCAACCTCACAAGTACTCCAAACTATATGATCACCAATAGTCTCCACTAGAAAATTAAGAACATCTACAGCACCAGCTTCTGCGGCAGGGTAGAGTCCATCACGAAGAATCGCATGAGAGTCTTCCCCATGTCGTTGAAGAAAATATCTGAGAGAGTTTATATGATCATGTAAACTTGCACGTTTTACACAGAATAAAGCCTCTTCTGTTGAGTCAAAAGAATACATTGGATATAAAGTATCTATCCATTCCAGAATTGGGATCCATCCGTACATAAAAGAGAGTTGATATGGAGTTAATGAAACCCTACCAAACTGCAAGCTTTTACCAACAGTACGCTGTGATAAAATTGCATCAGCACCAAAACGTCTCACCAAATCTTTAAGGAAATTTAAATAACCATGTTGTGCCGCAAGATGTGAAATTAAATACCCTTCATCATTAGAAATAGAGAGAGCCACATTCTCAAGTGATACACGACGATATTGATTCTTTTCAATTCCACTTTCCTCATCCTTATCAGTATTATCTACCTGTAATACCACACCTTCTGAAAAAAGTAAATCCATTAAATCAATTCTTCCAAGCTGAGCTGCAAAATGAGCTACAGTGTGGTGTCTCAGCAAATGTCGTGCACAGTCTGTAAATGGATAATCGCTCAATTTGTTTAGTAACTGTACTTCAGCAGGATCATAATATCCCTGTATATGATCATCATCATTACTCATTCCATCTTGAGTATTAGTAGATGATGAGATGGGAGTTAAACCTTGACGTTGCCAATGAAAAAGAATATCACTAAAACATGAGTCTGGGTGTTTCTTCAGAGTTTCCGCCACAAAACTACTCTTCAAAGACGGACGAGAGAAACGAATACAAATTCGTCGCATCACTGTTTACACACACAGACACACTCCGATTTAACACCTTGTCTGTTTTTTTTTTTTTCTTTTTCTTTTCCCTTGACAAGCAAAGAAGAAAAAATAGAAATAAAAACAAAACAGAAACGAATTGAATGAAGAAAGAAAAAAAAACAGAATATATTTGCTACAAAGCTTTTATTATATCTATCTCTTTTTTTTTTTCCGTTTTCTATTTCCCCGCCCATCAATCACACTCTGAGAAAGGAAAGAAAGAAAGAAGACTAGCTTCATTCAATGAGAGCGATGTTTACTGCACAACTTTCCAAAAATAATATCATCCTATCATGAGAATGGAGTTCCAATTTCAAGTTTCTGGTTCTTGAAACGAAGAAAGAACCAAAGTAAAATAAATAAAAAAAAGAAAAGAAAGAAAAGCACTCTGTTTTTTTTTTTTTTTTTCATTCTTTCTGGGAACATATAGAAAAAGCAAATTCTTCTTTTTCCTTTATTGCAAAAATTGTTGGTAAACTTTCTATTTCTGCACTACACATGGGAGAAAATAGTGGATGCAAAAGAAGATCTGCAGCTGTTGGACGTTTCTCTGGATCTGGTTGAAAACACTTACTCAGAAAATCCTGTAATGTAACACTTTCAGTGATATTATCTAAATACATGTTGGTAGATTTGATATCCGCCAAAAGTATAGAGTTATTCATAAACTTAAGTGGACAGGCGAAGAGTTCACTTGCTAAACACCCAATAGACCAAATATCACATGGACTAGAGTGTGCCTCTCCTCTGTAGACTTCTGGAGCCATATACCGAAGTGTTCCTTGTACATCTTTACTTGTTTTACCTTCCCGTGCGGTACCAAAATCTGTAATTTTTACAGTGTCACCCTTAAGTAAAATATTTGGGGGTTTTATATCACGATGTGCTACACCACGTGCATGTAAATATGTAATAGCTGTTAATATTTGTCGAAGTATTTGAACAACCGTTACAGTAGGTGGTTTTGCCTTTTTTCCAATAATAATATCACCTAAAGAACCATCACATAGTTCCATAAATAGATTTACATTGTTATCTTTACGTTCACAATGAAAATAGTGAACAATATTTGGGTGGTTCAAACTACACATAATTTTTATCTCATTAAGAAGTTTATTAATAGATTCTTCATTATCAGCAGCAAAATAAAACATCTTAACCGCCATTTTTCCTCCAGTCAAGTCACTTGTTGCCTCATATACGGCTCCAAATGAACCACGACCAAGTAATTTTCCTTTTGTCCATGGAGAATCTTGACGAAGAGTTAAAATGCGTTCACGTTCTTCTCGTGCAGTATTCGCATTTTTTCTTAATGAAACGGCAGTACCAATATCCATAAGAGTTCGTCGTATATCCACACTAGAAATAGGAGTATTAATAACATACTGAAAATCTGAAACAAACGACACCCCAGTTTCAGCAATAGGAACAACTATAGCACCAATACTAGAAGAAACAATTAAATCTTTTACAGAACTTAACCAACCACAATCACATACAATTACATCTATTTCATTTGGTGAAGTTTCTAAACGTTTTTCCAATTCACGTCTATCTCGTACAGTTGTTAGGGATACAAACATAGTTTTTAGTAAAATCATAGAAATATTATGTTGATCTACTAAATTTGTAATAAGTGTCAAAACATTTACTGTACAATTCACAATAGCACGTGTTTGATCAATAAGAGATTGTTCACTACGAGTCTGAAAAACACTTATAGCGGCATCATCCGTATCTTCTAAAGCAAGAGTAATCTGACATGGAAAACGTAAAGAAATAGAATTTCCTTCATCATATAAATTTCCACAGGTTCTACGTAAATTAGGCATAATCATTGCTTGTAAATTATTTCCATTCAAAGATTGTTTAGTAGGATCCTCATTAATAGGAATAACTTTTACAGATAAAGCGAATATATTACCACCTTCATTTAATATTTGTAATTTTACCACAGAAGAATCTGGCATAGTTTTAACCAAAGAAGCAATAGTATTAGGTACAAGTGGATGTAAACAAAGAGTAGAAGGAAATGCAGGATCTACATGTTTTGTATGATTTATCTTAGAAGACTTTATTGCATGACCTAATAATTGATCAGATGTAGTCCACTCCCATTCGGTATGCATTTCTCGAGCTAATTCCTCTACTTGTTTTTCTGCTGCACACTTTAAAAAAGATTTTAAAGAGTCAATAGCAGTACACCCTTCTTGTTTTACTAAACCTCTTTCTACTAAGAAAGAAAGATAATGATTTACTTCTGATGTAATGTAATCACGAATATAAGAGCGAAATTCTCTTAAATTATCTTTGGCATTTGCACAAATAAGAATACTTCCAATAGGTTTTCCAACAGGATTTAAAATAGGAACAGCTATAGTAAAAAGAGTTACTGGTGCTGTAGCAAAAGCTCGAAGTTTTACTTTCATTACATCTCCTCTTGATGATTTAAGCATAGAAAGATCATATGGAACATTACCACTTGGAGTATCAACAAGTTCAGAAAGTGGTTTCCCAATACATCCATTTTCAAGAAAACCAGTCATTGCTTCTGCAGCTATATTCCACCTAGTAATAAGATAATTTTCATCAAATCCTATCATTACTACTTGTGTATCTACATGTCTTCCATCAATGTATCCTACATCATCACCATAAGGAATTGTATAATATCCTCTTTTCGTATCACGACCACGTTCAACTCGAGTTTTTTGGGGTGAACTTTTTTTAACTATTGTATCTTCATTCTTATTAGATAAAGAATAAAGATAGGGTTTGGCGTTCATACGCTCCTCAAGCAAACATGTATATAATTCTTGTAATGCTTTCGTTGCGACTATAAAATGAAAAAGTATGATAACACTCGTAATAATTAAAATAACTCCAGCAACAGATCCTACAAGAGATGCGACAAAAGGTGGTGGGCCAACCATTGGAAGAACAGTGAGTGCTACAATTGCCCACAAAAGAGCAATAATATAAATAACTATAAATACAGCAAATAAAACTGAATTATATGTAATTCCACTTCTTATAAAAGAAGCCATAAAAGGAAATTTAATACGTACCTCTTGAGCATGTTTTGCAACATCCTGTGCTAATCGAGTAAGAGATTTTTTCCATGTCAGTGCATTTGGTCCGACACCCACTACATCATCTAAGAAAAGATTTCCCATTCGTCCCAATTGTTTTGGGAGTTCCTCATCCGCAACAAATCCAGGAACATTCTTTCGATAGGATGACGCCGGTACGGAAACAAGTACTTTTAGTGTAGATTGAATAGTGTGATAGACACCTTGGGCATGAGACATTTGTTCCTGTTTACCCTCAAGATATACACCTTCGAGGAGTTGAAAGAAATTCTCTATAAGCCCTTCTAAAGAAATAATACTCTGCTGGACGTACTCCTCATCATCTGAAGTGGCAAGAATGGGATGTGGTATCATTCCATCTACCTTGTTTACAAAAGAAAAGAAAAAAAGGTACAAGCATAGATAAAGAAAAAAAAAGAAAGAGAATGTTATTAAAATAAGCAGAAAAAAATTAAAAAATTAAAAAAAAGTAAAGGAGAAAAACGGTATATTCATATACCGTTTTTCAATCGTCTCCTTTTAGCAACAGTATCATTACTGTCAATTTCTCATTTCCATCATCATTATCTTCATCTTCTTCATCATTATTTAATCAATGATTTTTAGGTGTAAGAAAAAGATAACTTGGGGAATTCAAACGAATAATATAGTAGAGTACATCACAAATTAATTCCATTTGTTTTTGTTTTTGTTTCTTTTTTATTTTTTGTATTTTTTTTTCTTTTTTTTATTATCATTATTATTACTCTTTACATACAGAAATAGTATCAACATGGAGAGTCTTCACCCTC